GGGTGGGTGGGTGTGGGTGGGTGTGTGTGTGTGTGTGTGGGTGTGAACGATTCTCGAACATGGGCTCAGGGAGGTCACGCTCAGGGAGGTCACTCTCCAATCGCTGTGCAATCGTTCTGCATCAACTTGTGTCAGCACCAAGCAGTCACAGCAGGGGGCCACCGAGGCCTCCGGGGAGCGGTGGTCAACGAAGACATCCCCGGAGAGCCTGTGCAAACGTACCTGCTTTCTCCATCCTTATTGCATCTGGCGGAGATGACGACGAGGACGAGGACTACGACGACGAACACCAAGATACTTTGCCACGGCTTTACACAACGAGCAAGACAGGCAACAGCTGCAGTCTTTACCCAGCGTAACGACCCTTTGTGGGAATCCATCCGGCAGTGCAGACAACACTTCTTCAGTGTGTGTGTGTGCGCCTGTGTATGTGAATGATTGCCAGTATTTTGCCCTGATGTTTTCTATCTGCCAGGAGAGTCGGACAGAGCGAAGGCCGTGGGCTGGCTGCTGCGGGACTGAAGTGACACTGGAAATGTGTGCAGCACATGTGTCAAACAAATGGAGGACATGAAGTGTTCAGTGAAACAGGAGCTTCGACCAGTGTCCTACTATTTCAAGGAGGGACCGGACGCCAAGTACGTCAGGTGAGCCTGGTGTCCGTGAAGCATGCGAGCGAGGAGAGTTGTCATGCATGACTGACTTCGATGCCCGTCCGCCGAGTTTGCCTTATATTCCCATTCAACCAATAGCTGAGATGTTTGCAGAGTGTGGTCATGATGTAGATCTTGCAGGCAGCAACGAGTCTCTTGCACTCGCAGAAACAAGCCCTTTCCGGCAAATGGAGTTTTGTGGAAAAGGCCTACCTCGGTCAATTCTTCATGTGGCTTTGGCGGCTCCCGGAGAGGCTGAGAGTTGCTCAGCACCAGCGCTTGACACTGCGCGGTGCGAAGATCTTGCGGTGGGAGTGCGATACTCCCCTGGCTCGGGAGATGGCAGCGTATCCGGAGGCAGCTGACTTCTTGAGCTTCTGCTTGGAGAGAAGTGGAGATTTCTCGAAGCGAGACTGGCTTGCATCTTTGACGCTGTTGACAGTGCGAAAGCGCTTCAGCACATCATTGCCGCAGTTCCAGGAGTACAGTCAGCTGCTGGTCTCGAAGGCAGACGTACATTTTCAGGATAGCGTGCACCTTCTGCTCCACCGATATGGCGTTCTGGGCTACGCTCCGGCGGTGTGGAGGCTGCTTCCACTCATGGCGGCTCGCATACCTCTTATGACACCGAAGCAGTTGGCGCTCTGTGCTTGGGGCCTTGGGCAGCCTGCCAGGAAATGAGCGTTTGGGTGCTTCACAGGTGCAGGTGCGGGGAATGTTGTGTGGTCTTTACAGTGGCCGTTGCATGGGAGTATGAGAATGTAACATGTATGAGAATGTATGAGATGCGCCGAGGCGAACATTGGTCCACGACGACCAGGCCTGGACTTCTCTTGGCGCTGCTCTCTGTGACCGGGCCCAGGAGTTCTTGCTGGCAGACTTGGCAATGTATGCTTGGGGCTGGGCAGCAGTTGACCGTGTTTCACCTTCCGAAGTTGTGGTGCTGAAGCAATCAGTCCGGAATTTGCTCTTTGGGCAGAGTCTGCCTGAGTCGAGCCACAACCTCTGCATTTTGCTGAAAGCACTTGGCAAGCTGACGCCCGACGACCGGCGATTCCTTGAGTGGCTTCTGTTGCTCATGCTGGAGGCGATGGAGACGCGCTCCATTTCTTTTGCAGCACAGGGCCTCACGAGTATTTGGGCGGCTCTAGGCATGCTGAAATGGCGGCCGGAGGAACGCATGCTGGAAGTCCTTTGCGAGGAGTCTCGGCGATTGCGCCTGGACCACACCTTCAATCAGGACATGGCAGCAGAGCTCGCAAAGGCTCTTTTGATTCTGGACGTGGACGATGCCAGGCCCGTGTATCAAGTGGCCGACTATGTTGCGAGGCGGGGTCTTTCCCTTCGAGCTGACACCCTGTTGGTGCTTGCGGAATTCTTTGCGGCGCGGGGGGTTAGCCACGACCTGGCATGGAAGAGATTGGGCGTGCGTGCTCAGCAGCGTGGGGTCGACCTTCGTCTGCATGATATCGACCGCCTGGTGGCAGCCTTCCGCCGTGCAGGGCGAGGCAATCAAAGGATCTACGGCATGCTGAGCCTGTTTCTTCGGTTGCGAGAGGACCAAGCGAAGTACGGTGCCGCGTGAAACGTCAGACAATTCAAGCACGATTGATTGTTGAGTTTCACGTGCAACTCTATTTGGACTTTGTTTTTGCCCTTTGTGCCCGAACCCTGAGCCTGCCAGGTATGGCTTCGTGGCACAGGAGCTCGAGCAAGTCATGCCGGAACTGGTCCGAAGTCACAAGGACTCCTGAGACAGCTTTTCGCTTCCTCAGCCGACTCAAATTGCGCAAAGTCGGCCTTCGGAGCCACAACTGTTGTATGCATGGATTAGAAAGTCCTTCAAGAACCCAACCGCATGTGACACCATTTCCTGCGAAACCCGATTTTCGTGTGATACTCCTCGTAGGGCGTAGTAGCAGAGGCAGTACTCCACGTAGGTCGCGGTAGCTGTGGCAGTGGCCGTGGGCCTGGTCGTGGGAGGTACGAGAAGGCAGTAGTAACCAGTAGTACTAAGTAGCAGTAAGTAGTAAGTAGCTAGCTAGCAGCTATCAGAGCAGTAAGCAGTAAGCAGTCGTAAGCAGCAGCAGCAGCAGCAGAATGAGCAGAGTGAGCAGGAGGAGGCGGAGGAGGAGGAGTAGTAGTGGTAATAGTAGTAGCAGTAGTACTAACGATAATCATCACAACAGTAATAGCGAAGTAGTAGCAGTATTTTTTTAATGCGAATCGGTGAGAGAGAGGCTTTTCACACTGTACAAAGCCAGCAGGTTGTGGGGGTCGTCCATCGGCCCGAGCGAGGTGTTCGTTGTTTTCTTTTTCCACTAGCGACTATCGCTACTCACCATGGCTTGGCTGTCCAAACAGTCGTGTCCAAGACATGCCGCTTTGGCATAGCCACGCAGACGCCTTCGGACGCTTGCGGGTATCGTCGTTGTTGTTGTTGTGGTATGTTGTGGTATGTTGTGGTATGTTGTGGAATGTTGTGGTGGCGGCGGCAGTGGTGGCAGTAGTGGTTCTCGTTGTGGTTGCAGCCTAGCCTAGCAGACAAGAAATGAGATGGGCAGAAAGAATCACATGCAAGCCGAACTGTGCTTGGAGGATCGCAAGCATGTGGTGTATCAAGACCTCATAGCACTCCTCACCTTGGCATCGCAGGTCCCCGGAGCTTTTTGCTTCTGTCAGCATGCCTGTGCATAGCAACCGTATCGCGCGAGACTCTGGCCAGGTTCAGCAGGATCGCCTGGCTGCGCATGAGGCTCGGGCACGCGAGCGGGCCCAGAAGCTCAAAGATCAGGCTCGGGGTGCTGAGTTGTACTTGCCGTGGCACTCCTCCGAATCTGACGATTGCTTCGGAGGCATCACTGTTGATGAAGTTAACGCGCGCAGTTTCGAAGTTGGCCGCAAGGACAATCGCTTGCAGACATTACTTGTGCAGACCAGTCCTGTACACTTGTTGTCTCATCCACATGCAGCTTTGACATGGCACTGTCGAGGATAAATCTCTGGGAAGATATGATGAGGCCTTGGGTTAGAGCGGGGGCCTAAGCTGATGCAGAGGACACCAGGTGACTGGGGTACTTTGCAGGCTGCACCCTGTGTGCAGAAGTTGAAGTGTAGTGCTGAGGCCAAGCCTTCTCGGTGAGTCGGTCCCCAAAGGTGCGCAGCTTCTTGAATCCATGCTTGGTACTGTTGTCCTTCGTAAGTCGTGCCACAGGTTGGGTGTACAATTTAGTCAGAAGTCAGAAGTTGGGATGGTTGTCATCTCAGGAAGAGACTGTAAGAAGTGTGGCCATGTGATCCCGTTTGTCTCCCAGCGTCTCGTTTTCTATTTGCAAAAGTTGTCAGTTTCTGCTACAACGTCTTTGTTTTCAAGTTTCCCCCAAATAGGTACCAGATAAGTATGTGGGACTCCACTAATGCTTTCAACGCACTGCGTCCTGGAGCCTCCCGAACGAAAGTTTTTCGGCCATCCGGTGATCTGATGTTTTGAAATTATTGGGTGGTCTGATCTTTTGAAGTACTGACACTGGACATCCACATGCAGCTAGGCTTTGCACATGACCTTTGACACAGTTCTGTTTTGATGCATCGTGTACAGCTGTGCATTTGCAGCGTGGCGTGGTGGTGGATTCTCACATTCCGAGATGTCTGTGTACGGGGTTCCCTTCAGAAAACTGTGCACTACCACTGCAACACCGGGTTTCATTCCTCTAAGTTGGTCGAGGCAGCAACAGTGAAATTGGATTGATCTGCTCGCTAGAAGTCGGGTTTGCACAACTTTCCAGTTGGAAGACATGCACACGCATTGTGCAGAGGTGCCCGACGATGATAATGAGGTGCATCTGTTAGATGCGAGCCCGTTGGGCTATTTATGTACAAAACCCGTTCACACTAGTGTTGTTGCCGAACAGTCGCAGGAGCAGGAAAACGTTTCACAGAGTGTGCAGGAGTGCATCTGGTGACGGCCTGGAAAGATCCTTGCTAAAATCCATCAAAGTTGCGTTTGGCTCAGGTCACAAGTCCAACCCGAGATTCCAGGTGTAGAGCTCAAATTGACGGCGAGCCTCCGATTAAGGTCTCCGCTGAAGCAGTCCTTCCAGCCTAGGTTTTAAAGTTTTCCAGCCCTCTGGCTGCAGTTCTTTTCAGCACGCGCACTGCGAGATCTGCTTAGTCCAAGAATCCAGCTAAATAGCCAGCTCCTCTGTCCATATGTCCACAGCTTCTCATGACAGATGGTTTTGCCGAGGATGAGGGTCCAGGCTGGTAGTGCGAAGCATTGACATTGCAAGGGGCAGGGCGGGCAGGGCCTGGAGACGAGGCTGTCAGGAAGCGGAGGAAGTTAGCGACGCATTGTTCAGCGTCGCCTCGGATGCTGCAGCTTCGGGCGTTCCCCGGGTGATGTGCTGCGAGGCCAGTCGTACTAAAGCTGATGCAGGTAGCAGCTAGGCGTGCTGCCTGCATCGTGCCTTTTGTCTGCCACGGTGCACCTGTGACTGTAGCCCGATGCAACTCAACGGCAAAATTCAACAATGATTTCGAAGCTTTGCTGCCTTGTTGGGCAGGCCGACGGTTCTCTTCCGGAGGACATCTATTCCTTCCTTGGGGGAAGGAGCAGGCATTTGCTAGACGGGTGCCTTCGATAAGTGGACGTGGCACTTCTTTCGCATGGCGGCAGGCTGGTGGAGCCTGCACTTCGGCGGCATGCCTTCTAGACTCTGGATCCCTCTGGCGTAGCTGTTCGGGAGGTTCATCAGTCCTTTTCCTTTCGAAGTGTGGCTATTTGTGAAGGCTGCACTCTGACCTGCACTACTTTTATCTCAGGTCCTGCACGGCCATCGAAGCTTCATAGGATGTTATGGCAGCGGCCCGGCATGCTTAAAAAATCCTAGCATCAGTTCATATCTCACACAGGCGTCTAGGTGCAGATAATTCCCACAGACACGGCGAGAATCTTTGCCCGCATATCAGGTCCTGCCCTTGGCCTGCCTGTGTTGAATTCACTCCTGCGGCCAGCGTCCTGCGACATGATGTGGCTTCCCAAGTGGACAGTGTGAGTGTGGCATGCCTGTGCAGTTTGCAGCGGAACCTTCTCATCTCAACAGTCTCCGGGCGGAGTGGGTCAACGCACGATAAGCTTCTCGAGGCCAAGCGCATGTAAGGTCATGCGGCCAGATGTCGATTACAATCGAACGAAGGAGCATGCCGCCCTGTTCTTGTTTGCATATATGTGTGAAGATGTGCGAAGTTTAGCACGGCCCACGCCTGAGCCAGCATGGAGCTTGTGCTGCAGGGCTCAGTCGTCCAGTGCTGCCTCCTGAATTGGCCACCAGCTGAGTAGCAAGGTGTTTGGATGGCCAATGAAACCCACATGCACAGTCCGAGCTAGGAAACGCCCCTTTTGAAACCTTGGGCAGTTGAACATCGGAAACTGTGAGGGTCAGCGCTGCCCCTGCATCGGCGAGCGAGTGCGCAGAAACATGTTGCAGCAAACCTATAGGCGGACGCAGCCAACCCGGCAGGCAGCTTGCTGAATGACAAACATTGCTCATACCAAGCGCGTATCTAGACTTGAACGCATATTCTGGGAGACCATCGGGGCGACCCGACCAAATCTTGAGCACTGGAGCACACATGTTATCAACTTGAAGCATCCACTACAGCATGCTCTGGCATTGTAGTAGTTTGAGGACGGGTGCTGCGCATTTGGCACCGCAGCGGCTGTTGCGTCTTGGAGTGTCTTTGCTTGAGTGCTGCGAGGACAGGGTGCTGGCTGGGTTGGTCGGCTTTTTGCGTTATTCGGACACCTGGATCGCGACGCCGGTGCAGATAGCAAACCGAGCATGATAACGCATGCCACGAACAAGTGACCCCGTGCCTTGTAGAGGATTCGCAAGGAGAGCTTCCTCGCAACACATGCTATGCCCTGCTATGCAGGACGAGCAGCCACAGTGGCGCGATTCCATAGCTGAGAAGCTATTTGAAGCTTGGCATTGTTTCCTTGCCCGCTCTGCATGCATTCTGATTCTGACGTTTGGGAGAAGGATCGGATTCGCAAACCGATCTGTTGTAGCTGCCGCACGCAGTTGTCCAAGGATCCGTTTGCATTGGCTGACAATGCACCTCGTCTTCGTGAGTCGGTGAGCGGCTCCCTGTGAAAGGACCTCTTCTCCTGCGGAAGGATCAGCCCAAGCTATGCAGCTAGCTTGATTCCAGTCCGAGCCATTGGTCTTCTCGCGTTCTAAGGCACTGCTTTGCACCAGCGAGCCGCTGAAGCAGTGCTTGGACCGGGTGGATGAATGCTTGTACCGCATCTGGGCAGGATTTCCGGTCTCAAGAACTCAGTGCGCCGAGCAGCGGGTGCATGTGTGTTGCATGAGTGCAGTGGAGGTAGATCAAGAGATGCAGGCCGGATGAACCGTACGTGCCAAGCTTTGGATTGCGATTCTTCTCTTAGAGTGTGCGTGTCCTCACGGTCCTCACGCTAGTAAGAGAGCTGCAAGGCCAGCCTGGCACAAGCCACTTTATCCTGGAGCTGACAGCTGCCCACGCGAATGAGATGGGCGCGCTGACCGTGGTTTTCCTGGCCTCGCTGGCCTCCGCCGGCTTGCCCAGGACCGCTCAGGCACCTGAGCCCTTGCGCCGACATGCCGAGAGAATCTCTGGCTGCAAAAAAAAGCAGCGTTTTGTCCTTGGAACGCTTCCCAAGGCTGTGAAATCTAAGGTTTGAGACAGATTTCCATGGTTATCAACCGCCCAAGAACGGGCTTTGGCCTGACATCAGATGCTTGATGCAATACGTCGCGCGTATCTCCTGCCCGTCGGACTGCATTCCGTTTGTTTTCTCGGACTCGATTCAGGTTACAGGTTCCAGCCTGGATCCTGGAGCCACCCTGCTGCTCCTGACGCCAAAACCTGCGGCATCAATGCACGAGTCCCTGGCAGCGAACATCGCTGCTAGGTGTCTCAAGTTGCAAGAGGAAGCAGCTGCCACGAAACCCGAAGGCCTTTGCAGTCATGTACCGGCGGTGTGCTGGAGAGCATTCCCAGTCCGGAGGAGGCCCGGGCATCACCATCAGCCCGGCCCTGGCAGTGTACAAGCAGTGGCTTGGCAAAGGCCACGCAGAAGGATAGGACTGCCGAGGGAGCACCTGCCCAGGAGCGTGTGGCCCAAACGGGAATCTGCAAGTGGCCCTTCACTGGTGGCATCGCAAGAGGCACAGAAGGGACCTGGCAGGGAAAGCTTTGACTTGGCCACGATGAATTCTTTGCTCCGCGTCTCTCTAAAGGCAGTCCAGACTTCAACGGGCCCTCTGCACCGCATCGTATCACAAACCCCGGCGACACCACGGGCGATAGAGACCTCAATGTGGCAAAGGATCACAGACTGGGAGAGCTTCAATGTCACTCGGATAAATTGCCAGGTGTTGCCACAGTCTCAGATTCTTGCATTGCAAACGAAACCAAGGTGGATACCTGGATAAAGGATGCACAGAAAAATGGCCGTAGCGAGGCCGAGAAGGTGTCCGACTTGACCAAGATGGTCGGGCAGATGCAAGCCCTAATTCGTACAATGGCGGGCCATTTGAAGGTGGGGGCAAAGGCAGTTAGATGCGCGTGACTGCGAATTTTGGTACTTCCCTGGTGTGGAAGGTGTCTGCCACGCCAATTAGTAGCAGCTTTCGACAGCGTGTCGACGCATCGAGCGTGGATGCCACATCGCCCCGGGTGGCACTCAACAGCCCCTATGCCACACCATCTCGGCAGATTCACAACATGCCGCTTCATGCGCTGGCTGCTTTGACGCAGCATAAGCTCCGGAGATCTCCGGCCGCATCTGTCTCAGTCCCAGGCTTCCACTGGTAATCTGGCTGCGTGCTCTCCGAGACATCCACAGTCACTGAGCCCCTTGGAGGCAGAAGTCGGGTCACATGACTGCAGATGCGATGTAGCCGAGGCGGTGAGGAGCACGCATCTCCATTGACGCGCAGCTGCTCTGCAAACTACCCTGTAGGCAGGTGTTTTGCAAATCTGCCTGTCGCTAGCATTTTATCGACGGACCCCTAGCCTCCCTAGCCACTCGCGAGGCTCTGTCTTGTCGCACAAGGGCAGCGGCCTTCTGAGCATTGTGGGCGAGGCAAACATCACTCGCAGTGTTGTAGGATCAGGTTCTTTTCGTTCTTTTGCGCCTGGTCGCCACTGCTTGCCAGTTCCACTGCACGCTTGGGAGGTCCAGTCGCCTGTCGCGATCAAGAGGGACCTGTCTCCTGCGGAGGTTCGCCATGTGTGCGGGGCCCAGCCATGCTTTCGAAACGCAGAGTCGCTCGTGAGTGTTCGTCGAGGCAGTCGCTGGCACCGCCACCCAAAGCGAACCAGCAGTCCCAGCGCGTTTGTTTTGTGGTCCCGCGAGTTTGCGGTGAGTTTTAGATCCTGCTGACTCCGTCCGAAGGCAGAGCCGCAGCTCCGCTCCCTACTGGATGAGTCCGTGGCAGTCTGCTGCTGTCCTGCAGCAGCCACTGCAACAGCCGGCACCAGACGCCTGGATGGAGAAGGGGACAGGGTCTCGAAACAGCAGAAGCTCGTTTGCCAGACTGGGCCGAATCCTGAGGTGTCCGTTGCAGCGGAAAGCCACGTTCTGCATTCGCCGAGGACTTGTGCTCAGCAACAAGGTGTGATTCTTCGTTCGGGGGTTTGTTCGAGTCTTCTGTTCCAACTCCTTGATGCCAGTGATTTTCTTTGATCAATACGTTATGCTGTTTCATTCTGGCCCATAAATCTTGAAATGGCCCGGTGAAAACTGGATGGCCTGCTTGACCTGAGAGGTTGAATAAACGGCAGCGGATTGGCTGTTCGAAATTCGCTATGAGAAACAGGGAGGATCACAGAGTTCCTTAAAATCAAGTCCTGGATTCTTTCGCAGTGTAGCATGCGCAGCTGTCTGTGTCTGTGTGTGTGTGTGTTGCAAGGAGTGATTACGGAAGTGATGTTTGTTCGCAAATCTTGAATGAAAGGGGGCATCTGCGCAGATGACGACACACACTTTATCATTCTTGCCTCCTTTTGTGTGGAGGGATTGCAGCCAAAGTGCGTAGCCCCAAAACACGCCAAAACTCCGAGCCCATGCAAAAGCCAAGCTCTCAGGACTGAACAGGGTCAGGCACTTACTTGCGTTCCATACACTGCGTTGTGGCATGTGAAGGATATGCTCTGTGAGCTCGCTCGATGCTACACGCAAATACACGCACACCAGCGGTCACAGAATTCATTCGGTACTAAAGTGCCGAAAGCCTATATTTGTCGAGATATGCCCGATATTACGCGGTTGCAGGGACGCCTCTTCCTTCGGACTAATGTGCTGAGGACCCATCGAAGGGCAGCGATCACCTCCACCTCCTGCCACCGCTCAGTATGCGAAGAGTGTGTCTTGGCCTGCTCCGACACGCAGTTTGTCTTTGAGGATTGCTTGTCGAACGAGAGCATGCAATGAGTGGGCGTATCCGTGGGCGTGCGTGCGTGCGTGCCGTGCCGTGCCGTGCCGTGCCGTGCCGTGCCGTGCCGTGCCGTGGGTGCACTACGCGGTGCCGTGGGGTGCTTCCTTGCTTGCTTGCTTGCTTGCTTTCTTGCTTGCGTGCTTGCGTGCGTGTGTGTGTGCGCGCGTGTGTGTGTGTGTGTGATCTCTTCTCCTTTTCCCCTCCGTGATCTACCGCTCGCCTGCTTCGGGTGTGTCCCTGGCCAAAAGACAGTGTCACAGGCGGGACCCCGAAGCTGGACGAGGCATCCCTGTTGTTGCAAAGATGCTCGCAGCATGCCCGTCCCAAATCCTTCTACTGGGCAGCACGTCGTTGCAGTTGCATTGGCCCGGTTTCGCTCCGTCATGCGTTAGGATCCGATTGCATGCCGCTCGGTTGGATCACTCATTCGAGCGTGGCCAGGGCTTGGCATAATTATGTAGATGAGTGAACGGTTTGCTGGGCGTATTGGCATGTTCGGGCCGGCACATGCCAAACAGCTTTCTGCCTCCTGGGGGGTCAAGGACATGTGATCATTGATGTGCTCAGAGTAGTCGAGGCTACCCAGCTAAATGCTGACAATTGTTGCGAATATCTTCGCTTGCACAAGAAGCAGAAAGCTGGTTGACGCTAGTGTTATGACGCCAACATCGGCCAGGAGCTAGTCTGACCTACAATAATCTTAAACACGTATGAATCAGAAAATACGCCTGTATCACACGGATATGCTAAGTTAAATGGCCGTTGACTCTTCAACTTGCATCTGCAGCTGTGTGTAAAGGAGTTCATTTCGACGGTTTGATCAACAGGTGGCATGGAGGGACAACGTGTAGCCAAGGCATGACACGAGCACGGGTGGGAAGCACAGAGTTACACAGGCGCACAATGCTGTAACATACATCGTTGTGGTAAATGATACTCCTTCACTTGTGTCGTCATGGATGTGCCGGCTGGTTGCGCTTGGGCAACAGACTGGTTAGGGCAGGGCGGGAAGCGGAAAGGCTGAGACTTTTGGAGAGGGGGGGGCCTTCTGGCATCGTCCATATTTTGGCTATAGTGGAAAAGAATATGAAAAATATGGAAAAATATGTGAAACTGTGGAAATATGGAAAATATGGAAACGCTAGGGAAAACAAGGCCAACACCAATTTTGGTGGAATGTGCTGAAACGTCTGCCAGAAGGCTGGATTCCTTGCCTCGAAAAAAGGATTCCGGGAGCAGCAGTCAGGCCTTCGGGTCGGGGGGGCGCCCTGCTATTTTCGGGTGGAGGGCTTCGGATCTCGGCCTGGCTCCCCATCCCAAGTCGTTACGGCATCGCGGTGGTTTAGGAACCCTTCTCTCACAGCAGCCACCTCCTTCTGACTTCAGGCGATCTGTTACATTATGTTTGGGTGAATTGCAAAGCACAAACGGAGTTAAATCGTGCGGTTGCTGGTCTGCCAAAGTGTCCAACAAGAAGCCAAAGTGTATTGATGAGAGCAATCCTCAAATCCAAGCACAATTCAAGCATACTTTTTCCCATATTTTCCAACATCTTCCTTTTCATATTCATTCCATATTATTTCCATAAAGAAAATAAACCCAGGAATTAGGATCCTAGCTGTCCTAGCTGGGATGACCGCGTGTCAACGTTAGTGCCGATCTGTCACGTCTCCAAGCCTGGACCGATCCAGACCCTTTATGCCTCGCCAAAAAGGCTGCGGCCGAGAACCTTCTACTAGTCTTCTACTCCTTTTGGACGCAGACTTGCTGGCTGACTGTGTTCAGCCTAGCTTCCCCCCCGCAGCTTTTACAATGCAACATGATGCCACATACATACACCTTGTGGACGGTGGGGGTTTCTGCTTGGTGCCGGGGATGCCCCGCCTTTCCTTGCTACACTTCTTTCCCTTATATAGCTTTCGTGGCCCTCTTCTCAAGTTAGATGTGAAGAGTTGATCATGTCCTCCTGCAAGGCACACCCAAACTCTGCCAGAACATCTGCACCGGTGGTATCAGCCGTCTTTGTTGCTTGGCCTTGTCAGCCGATGCAGCCTCGACCCTGTAGTATGACATCAGCGTAGCAACTCCATGCCACGGGTGGACATTCTGGGACCCATGGGACCCACGGGACCGACACCAAACCACTCAACTGTCCGCGACTCCCCTTTGCCTTTGTCTCAGGCTCCAGGGGCGGAGCGCAGCTCTGGCCTGCGTTGGGAGTGGCCTGGTTGCCTTGAGATGTGCGCATTCACAGCAAAAAGAGAACATCAATCAAGTGTGCTTTTGAAGTTGAGAAGGTCAACCTCAGTACCAATGTGACAGTAACGCAAGTGGTATGCGCTATTTCCGGTATTGTACCTGGTCCAAACCATCTCTCGTCATTTCTGTCGCAGGGGCAGATGGCCGAAATGGGTCGCTTGCAATGCAAGGTTCCTCATTCAGTTGTTGAACAGATGCGACAACAGAAGCTTCCCCTGCGCCAATGTTGAAAGACCACGAATCGCGTGAGGGCAACATGCAGCAATTCTTGGTGTAAGTTGCTGCAGACCTGAGCTTCAGCATCATCCTGCTTCCATTCCGTGCAGCTTCCTTTCCTTTCTATATCAATTGTATATCCTGCAGAGAACATAACAATGGAAGGAGACTGAAGACTGAAGACCAGGGTTCGGACCGAAGGAGAACGCAAGGCGGACATACGGGTTGACGGTGCATTCCCTGGCCGATGCCGGCGGCCAAGTCCAGAGTCTCAATGCAGGGCTCGCAGGAGCTGGGGGGCCTCAGCTCAACCAACTCGCCAACTAGACGCCTCAATCAAGACGATGTGGATGGAGGGCATAGTGTCAAAAAGCGCGGAGGGTGATGATGTAGCGACACTCCTGAGCTGACTAGAGTCGCACTTCGTGGTGATTATACGGCCCAAAAGTTGTGGGTTGCTCGGACTCGAAAGGCCCGCGTTTACAAGAACACGCCTGTCCTGTGCTCACCTGCCTTGCGTGTTCTTGCCACAAGTTACACCTGTTGAAGCCTCGTGATAAAGTCCCGTGGCTCGACGGGATGTGGCGACAGGAGCCCTGCAGACATGTAGAGCGGGCTGGAGACAGTGATTTTGTTGATGGTGCTCGAGAGAACGACTGCCAACAACTGAAGCCTGGTTTGCTGATTGCTGTATAGAGCAGAGTTGTCCTGCAAACATAGCATCAGGCCATCTCCGTACAGAGTGCCTTGGTTGCATGCGGGTGCCTTATGCTCTCCTGGTCGCACGCAGCATTTCAGGTCCGTCTGGTTTCTGCATCCGCTCCAAAGGCAGATCTGCTTCAAGCTTTCTCTTCACATGCTGCGCTGCGGCCTGCTCGCTCCGACTGTGCAGGTGCAAATGGCTTCTGCTCCTCGTGGCACAGGCTGTGGCGCTGGGGCACCTGCCGCGCCCGCCCCGCAGGCCCAAGAGCTTCGCATGGTGTGAGTTTTCCATTTGTTGGGCTCGTTGGCCTGACTCCCTCGGTTAATATCCAGGGGCTGACATTCAGAAAGCTGGTTGGACTAGACTTAAACCGTCGGTCTCAGCCTGTACATAGGCCCGAAGCTCGCATGTAAGTGGCACCGCCCCGATCCTCTTCGTGGCAACGTGCAGGTAACGCCGCACCATGCAGCTCGGATGCAATGAACTTGAAGCTGTCGGGGTCCGGGCTCGGCTGTTCTCCTTGCGAGGTCGCCATCAGAGTTGGTGAGGTGCGTGAATGGCTCAGATTGTTCTTGAGCAACCAACTTCCGGACCTCCTGCGAGTTAAATTCGCATGTTGACGAAGCCTCTTGACCTTTGACCAGGAACGGCTGCTGGCTGCACGTCTCCACCTCGTATGCTTAAACCTGGTCGCTGACATGCTGCGAGATCGAAGAGAGGCAAAAAGCAAGCAGTGCACATGTAAAGCACTTGGGTAGCCTGTTCGGAGTCAGGTCTCCGCCTGCGAGCAGGGAGCAGCGAGAGAGAGAGAGAGAGAGACCGCCGCCGTCTAGTTTCAACTCAACGATTCGGAGGCGAGTCCTTTGGACCTACGGAACGAAGTGTCAAAACTTATCCACGGCAAACGTCGGGAATCCGCCCAAATCTTCGTCCCAGTCGGAGCATTTCCGCCATGGCCAAAGGGAGCCAAGCTGTCGGCCTGAAAGTGAAGTCGAAGGGGAAGGAAGCAAAGCAGCGACGAGGCCTCTCGTCAGTCTGCACTTGGCCAGCGGTGACGACAAGTCGACTTGATGCCGAGGACATGTAGCTGTCAAAAAGCTCAGCAAAAGCTCCATGACGAGCGCGCTGAAAGCGCGACTCAAGAAGAACTCCGGGCGTGATGATATCCGGATTGATGAGCAGCCGCAGCTGCTGGATGATGCTGCACACTCGGTGCCCATCACCGAGCGCGGAGGGTGCCCCGACTGAACCGGATAAGTATTGGCAGGCGTATAAGTGCCTGATGCCAGCAGAAACAGAGTTGAGGTTTTCCACTCCTCTCCGGAAAGGTTCAACAGATGATTGTAAATGCCCATCATGTTCACCCATATAAGTGACTCTGAGTCAAGATTCGCTTAGAGCCGTAAGGGCGCACAGCTATGACGACACAGGCACCTCACAATTATCCGGTCGGTTGACTTTTGCCCCCATGAGCTTGGCATTATTTGGATGCTTCTGTCTCAAGGTACCCGGTAATCCGGAAAAAAGGTTCCGCCGACCCGAAGAAGTGGGTCACAGTGACAGGGGTGCGGAGCCGAAACTGGCACATGACGTGCGTGTGTGCCATGCGGGGCCATGCTAAGGTTCCAGTCTCCGTTGACTTCAACCGTTGCAGATGGCTCCCGGACGACTGGGGTCAGGGAGTGAAAGCCACCCTGCCGAACTCACGGAGCAAACCCAATGGTGGAGGTGGTAACCTGGCAGAAAAGCCTTCTGAAAGGAAGCCTTCGTCGACACCGTCGTGAATGTGCAGTCAGTAGTTGTCACGGGTGCAATATTGAGTGTAATATACGATATAACGCCTCTTTGGGGTCTTCTCAGGCATTTTGACTTGCTTCGTGAGCCCGGAGATGAAGGTTTATTTTCACAAGGAGAAGGTTGAAGAGCATGTCGGCCACCGAGCGGCCGGTGTGTGCGACTTTCTCCGCCTTCCGTTTTTCAGCGTTCCTGCAGGTTGGGCGGACGCTCAGCGACAAGGATGGCTTCAATGGCCAGGTCCGGCTTGCGAAGCTGCAGGCGCCACACTGCGAGCACATGCCTGGCACTGCGCTGCCTTGGAGTCGGTTTTGGGGTGCCTTGGGCCTTGGCAGGCGCAACAAACGATCCAGCTGGCACGGCTGCAGATACGCGAAGTAAACAAAGGGGGCACGAAGTCGTTCATCGGCGCAGCTTCTTGGCGGGGCTTTAAGGTTGTCGGACATGGCTTTGGGCTAGTGCGTTGAGGTTCTGGGGGTTTGGTTTTGTGCAGACTTTGGGGCTTTGGAGTGAGTGTTGGTTGGAGGAGACAGAAAGATACTGAGCAAGAACTTCTCGAACCGCGAAATGCAAACCCTAAAAGCCCTAATCCACTTGCACGCCAAGCCCATGATGATCAGAAAACAGGATACGGCAACTGCTGGTTCAACAGCCAGTGCCTCTGATTACCCGTACGGAAAAATCAACGCGAATCGAAACCTGGACCCTGAAATACCTCTCCTGTTCAGGGACTTGATAGGTTTTTTGTGCGAGGGACTGCCTGCGCCCTTCGAGCTGACCCGAGGACAAAGACTCGGACTTTTTCCGGTTACTCTCGGCGACCGAGAAGAAGTACTGGGCTTATGAAGTCAAGGTCCCACTTTTCGGGAGAGCACCCGCCTTGCCAGGTGTCTTCCGTCCAAGGAGGAGTTTCACTTCTGCGTCGTGTCGGCTCGGCGTGCCACCAAACTTGAGGGCGTGCGGGACATCGTTGCTGTGCAGACACAGCTCCAGGAGCCGCCGCATTTGGTGAAGATTAACAGTTCTTGCTGATGTGTTTCGAGGAGGCCGGCATTACACCGACTTGGTATGTCGACGCCGAAAGCTTGGAGGCGCGAGCTCTTCGAGCAGCTCATGCAAGTGATCTGTGCGTGTGGAGGACTACAAGGCCCTGGGCCTCAAGGCCATTGTCGGCGGAAAACTTACACCATCCCGCAACAAAGCGCTCGACGATGCAGCGGCCAGCCTTTAGGCTTTCTATGGCTTACTGCTTGTGCTGCTCTCCCCCTGCGAGTTCGTGCCATGCGCCTCCAAGGAAAAAAGATTTGCGTCCAGATGTCGGACGACATCGCAGCTTGGGAATACCGTCATGGTGAGACGCTCCTTCGCGTGGAAGGGGTTCGTGGTTGGTGAGGACCCACGTTAGATTTGCTGATGGTGCCTGACGGTGTCCAAAGGAGAGCCAGCAACAAGACGGATGATGCGATGAACAAGGCTCATGCCCTGGCGCAGCGATTTATTGTGCAGCTATGCCGGAACAGAAGACGCTTTCATTTTGTGGCTGTTGAACTTCACCGGTCGGTCGCTAGCTTCTGTACTGAAGCAGTGCATATGTCGGTTCTCCCCGCAAGCAGGTCTGACTTATCCTCTCATCGTTTGATCCTTCGCCAGTGGGTGGGAGGGCTGTGATAGGTGGTCGAAAACTGTATGGCCAGCTTGTCGTTGAAACCCAAGTTGTCGTTTTGAGGACGCCGGTGGCAGCTGCCCGCTTTATCGTCGCAAAGATGCGTGCTTCACCAGACAAGCCAAAGCTGGGAGGTGTCGCCACTCGGACGCCTGGTGTGCCAGTTCAGCGTTTGCAGCGGATCCGAGCGCAGGTGTGTACATGCTGGGGAGCTGCGCACGCACCTTTGCAGGCCCAGACCTTCTCACGGTTGCACCCGCATTGTTTGTAGCTCTGCCGATGCGGCGGCAGCAGGTCCTGAGTTTGTCGATCACCACTTCATTCTGGGAGCCCTGGCTGCGAACACCCTTTGTCTTCCTAGAGGGGCTCCAAGTTCAATTTGGGGCGGGATCGGTTTTGATAACAGCTGGACAGTTTGTTCAGAATAGGGTCTTGTGAGAATAAGCTAAGGCGACTTCTTCGTTGTAGACAAGGGCTCCTCGGTGCGGTTCGATGAGAACATGAAACTGAAGGACAGCATGCACACAGGTTTCGAAACCCCCTCGGATCTTTGGCATGACAGACTTTGCCCCATGAGCGGGTGGCATGCAGGAAGACTATGACTTCACATGTGCACATTTGAAGGCGCGGCTGTTTTACGACTTTTTGTGCTAGCTGCGAGCTGGGTTTTTCGAGTTGTGGACCCGAACTCTTTCCAGTTGGCATGTGTTGGCGTGACAGTCCTGGCTGTGGTAGCCTGCACAGGCTCATGGCAGTGTTCTTCGGTGCAACCGCATGACCCTGACCGTCAAGCACTATAGCAACTGTCTGCATCTAAGCTACGGAGAGCGCAGGAGAGGCAACTGCTCTGTCAGGTCTTTGAATAATTGAAGCTTCATGGAGTATGCCCATCAGCGAGTACATGTCGGTGCGTGATTGTCTTGGACTCTCATTCTCACCGGCGCTCTCGCCCTCAATCGGACTCTCACTGTCACTCTCGCCCTCACCGTCACTCACCCTCTCCGTCTCATGCTCACCCTCACTCCCACCCTCGCTTTTCACCCTCACCATTACCCACACCAACCTCACGCACACCCTCGTCACATGCAGATGTTTGGTGATGCCCGCAAAATTGCCTTAGGTGGTGGTGCAGTCGCGACACGCGACTCGAAAGGCGTGGAGGACTGGCGTGGGCTGCTGGCTTGCGCGTGCGCACGGGGAATGCCCACGGACCAAGTAGGTCGAAATGTCCTTGCATCCAGCCGGAAGGAGCAGCGTAACATTGCCATCTTGAAGTCGAAGTGGCCAGGACAGGCTTTTGCATGAATTAGCCGTCACGGCTCGGGGTCCCAATGCCCTGAAAGCAGAAGCACAAGACATGTATGCAAGAGCAGAGCTCAACCTGCACGGCTGCAGCTCTGCGGCCAGGATGCTTTCACAAGCACCCAAAGAGGAAGAACGAAGTCGTCCTGAGGTGCCCTATTTCGGCATATTTTCCATTTAGGGACGGGGTCGGTGGGGTACATATCATGTGGCCTAGAGTTCTGCTGGATTAGCTGCAGCACAGAAGCTAAGCAGGTGGAAAGCTACAGCAGAAGAGAGCGAAGACGATGACGACATCGACGAGGGCCAGCAGAATCCGAATCGTGGATTGTTTTGAGCCAGCGGAGCCGTTTCTTTCTTTTGCTTTCCGCGGCGCATGTGCTAGACATTGCCCCACCGCCTGAATCCAGAACTTGACGAATGCGTGCTGAACTTCCATTGGCTGCTCTAACTTAGTTGTCCAGTTTGAAGCGGCTCAGGCACTTCCAAGTCCAAGAAGGCAGCCTCAGCCTCGCGAAAGGAGAGCAAGAAGGCTTCAGTTCCAGGCTCGATCAATGTCCAGCGCGTGTTGTCGTGTGTTCGGTTTTCGTCCGCAGTCTTGCCGGCCTTCTCTAAGCATACGGTTCTATCGATACTGCTTTTGATGCCGCCTGGGTATCGGGAGTGGGCATGCGAAGGCTGCTCTGTGGCAGGGTTTGATGCTTCTACGAATTTTTCTCCAATTCAAGACCAAACAACTGAAGCTTCGTCCGCCGCCTCCAGAACTGATTTGAGCCATGTCTGCGGGCCATCCAAAGTCTTTGGCGATCAGCGGGAGTCTGTTTTCGACATGGCCTGCGACTTCAGCTCGGTGGAGCTGTCGCCTCCCGCTGATCGCCCCATTCGAGCTGCTGCGAAGGTCCTTCTCGGATCGAAGCATTCTTTCGGCTGGGCCATGC